AAGGCCTAACTAGGGTAATTAGGTTAACTAGGCAGGTTAGGGTAATTAGGCAAGTTATTGTATAATGATGGTTTGTTCTGTAGACTGTCAAAATTAAATATAGCTCAAAGGGGCTAATAATTTTTATCCTAAAATGTTTTTTTTTTAATTAAAAACTGCTAGAACTTTTATTCTAGCCAAAATAAAACAAATAAGACTTTTTATCAGACATACAAATAACAAATAAGACTTATTATCAGACATACTGTATATACTAATATATATAGTTGTGTCAAATTAAAAGTTCCAAATTACAACAGGTTTTTACTTTAAGTAAAGTCAACTTTTCGCTTTCAAAGCAATGGGTTTAATCACTGTTTGTTTGTTTTTTTAAGTAACCAATCGATTTTAACAGTAAAAATGTGAATGAGTGACCAATGACAACAGCATGCTTCTGATACTAGACAACATTTGAATTATATAATTGTCATAAAAATCATTGGTCCACATTGGTGGAGGTGAGAAACCATACATTTTTGAATGCTTATATCTTCTAAATGTAAATTTCAGCTAATTAACCTCAAATCGATACCAACACGAAAACTTTGATTTGATGACGCTCTGCTCTTGTTAGACAGATGGAGAGCGGTGGATCGCCACATGCAGAGGACTCTCGATGTGTTGATAGAGATGAGGGCTGCTGGACAGATCAGAAATGCTGGCTTTTGACAGACGCTGCACAGATCTTCCTCTCCAGATCAGCAGCTGAGGAACATCTGGAGACACTGAGCTGCAGGAACAACGCTGAGGAAACTGTCGCACCTCTTCGTTTAGGTGATGTATTTAGTGAAACCTGTGATTAGTTTCATTATAGTTAACTATAGTACTAACTACAGTTGATGTCACAATTATTAGCCCTCCTGTGAATTTCCCTTTTTTAAAAAAACATTTTAAAGTCAATATTATTAGCTAACCTAAGCAGTATATAGATATTTTTTGATTGTCTAAAGAACAAACCACTGTTATACAATAACTTGCCTAATTACCCCAACTTGCCTAATTAATCTAATTACCATAGTTAACCCTTAAATGTCACTTTAAGCTGTATAGAAGTGTATTGGAAAATATCTAATAAAATGTTATTTACTATCATCATGGCAAAGATTAAATAAATCAGTTATAATAGTTGTACTGTAGTCCAGGGGTCCATTCTTCGTACCTCGCTTAAATGATCTGAGGATTTGACCAATGCTGAATATTTTAATCTTGATAACTGATCTCTGGCTAGTTTGGTTCCTCAAAGTTTACGAATAAGATTAAAATGTCTGGTTGAACTGATCTGAGATCGCTGCTTGTGTTGTGAAGGACAGATCTATCGATTCTCAAAATCATGATCAGCAATGCAACAATTGGCTGACGGCACAGCGACGTAATGACATCATCTGATCAATCTTCAATTATTTATGTGGGCAAAATTACAGAAAATTCGTTGTAAACCGTAAATGATATGCAATATCTTTCCACATTTGTTGTGGCTGCAGGCTTTACGCTTTCATTTAGCAATTTATTCAGTGTTACATTTAGAGCTGATTTTCTTATAGGAAGCCTATTCAACTTAATCAGCCTAAGGAATAACTAAAGGAATGACTTATAATGGTTTCCTGGATCGTGTCAAATCATAAATAACCAAATCCAGCTAATTGAGTAATCCACATAAGAAGAACGGACCTCAGATGAGTAACAAAACCACAACAACAGTGAGTTTTATATATATATATATATGTATATATGTATATATGTATATATATATATATATATATATGTTGATTATCGAGAAAAAATATAGCTTAAAGGGGCTAATAATTTTGAACTTAAAATGGTGTTTAAAAAACTAAAAATTGCTTTTATCCTAGCCGAAATAAAACAAATAAGACTTTCTCCAAAATAAAAACAATATCAGACAAACTGTGAAAATGTCCTTGCTCTGTTAAACATCATTTGGAAAATATTTAAAAAAGAAGAGAAATTTTTTTTTGAAGGGGCCTAATAATTCTGACTTCAACTGTATGTATTTATTATATATATATATATATATATATATATATATATATATATATATATATATATATATATATATATATATATATATATATATATATATATATACACACGTGTGTGTGTGTGTGTGTGTGTGTGTGTGTGTGTGTGTGTGTGTGTGTGTGTGTGTGTATATACACATCATGTGTATGTGTATATATGAAGATTTTTTTTTTGCTTCATAATTATCAACACCACATGTATAGACAGCACATGATAGAACTAATTAGATTTAGTTGTGTTTTAATTGTAAATCTTTTACTGTATATATATATTCATATATATATATATATATATATATATATATATATATATATATATATATAATAAGAGTTATGATAATATAAAAATGATAAATACAATAAATATATTAAATTATATATATTGTTTATAGAGGCTCATTAATAAATATATCACCTATCTTTATTAATATTAATATTAAAATAATAATATTAGTATCAGCGGAGTAGCAGTAATGAATAGGTTGAAAGTAAAAAGCGCCCGACCAGAAGGGCCTGTCAGTCCTCAAAGCGGCTGAAGTTGACATCTTGATGTGAGCCAATCACCTTGATCCCTGGGTTTCCCCTTTAATTACCATAATTACAAACCAGTCCCTAATTTTCAGCCCTCAGCGGGCCCTCCAATGCAAGAGACTCTAAATCTATGGAGAACATCTCAGTGAAAGACTGGTTACACACATTTCAATTTAAGAAGTTATTCCTCCCACAACAGAGAAGCAGGCGATGTGTGTTGTACATGGCACGTATCCTAAAATCAGACTCGGAGCCGCCACTGAGCCTGCCTTTGCCACGGGATGAATAAATCAGGCTGGAGAAGAAGCCCGTGAACAAGACAACCATCTGCTGAAAAGCATCGTAAATTGTGTTCGCTTTGAGAAACGTTTGCATCCCTTCAGTTGCTCTGGAAGGATTTGAAGGACTCATAAAAGACTTAACAATCACTCTTTTCTGTAACAGCAGTCTAAATACAAGAGATTAAATGAGTTTTTCCTCATGATTTAATAGAATGAATTGTTTGTAACTTGGGTTAGTGTTGCTTTCATAGACCTGTCTGTTAAGATTTTGTTTTTTAATATTATTATTATTATTTTTTTTTATCTTTATTATTATTATTATTATTATTATTATTATTATTATTATTATTATATTATTATTATTTATCAGTTGTTGTTGTTGTTGTTGTTATTTTTTATCAGTTGATATTAGTATTGTTGGTGTTATTATTATTATTATTGTTATTATTATTATTTGTCAGTTATTATTATTATTATTTGTCAACTGTTGGTGTTGTTATTAATATTATTATTATTATTATTTGTCAATTGTTCTTTTTATTAATAATAATAATATTTGTCATTGTTATAATTATTATTGTTGTTGTTAACTTTTATAACTTTTTTTCTCGATTTTGATAGTCAAAATACAACTTTTTTTTTCTTTTGCAGCAGTTTATCAATTTTTACAGAAATCAGAAAATACACATATTTTTATGTTTTTGTTTTTCCTTGAAACATAATGAACCATAAATCCCCACTTCAGCAGCACTTATTTTATTCATATATTTAGCCTGAAGTTTTTTAGAGATATGCTTTGATACTTTGCTAATTATATACAACATTTTATTCTACAATGAATTTTTATTTAATTTTCTATTGTTTTATTTAATTTTATTTATTCACTGTATTTTCGGGGTGATATACAGTAAGATTGCCCAAATCCCGCCTGAATAAATTTTTGACTATAATGTCCAAAATAAAAGAATAAAAGATTATTTTATGCTCAATTATTCAGATTGTGTGCTAGAAATGCATGCAAATTGAGATTTTTAACAATGTTTTAATTTGCATAATTAAACAACATTTAAGAAAGCTCAAAATAAATTCTTTTTTTTTCTTTTATTCTCACTTTTAAAAAAAAAATACAAATTACCAAAATCGTCAGTTTCATTGTGACATTTTCCAGATTGAATATAGAAATCAAAAACATATTATCTCAACACAGTGCCGATGTTAGCTATACCTAAAATAGTCTGTTTGATCTTAAGCTAACTTTGATCTGCTTCAGATCCTGGCCTCAGATAAAGGACTGCTGGATGAAAGCCTAAAACTAGTGAAATTTGTATGGCTCTGAAACGTTTGACTTTATTTCTATAGTATCATTCAAAGCTTTCTCTCATCACCTCATTTTATGGGCACTTATGGAATGTTCATCAACTTTTAAAAGATATTTTTTTTAAATTAGAGTTAATTAAGCCATATACATTCTTAATCACAGAATATCCAAACATTAAACTTGCAAGTAAACTTTCTTCCTATATTTACTTTAAAAATATGACATGTTTTGTACCTGTGTGGAATGATATTACTAAATACACTATTGATTAATTTATTATTATAGATTTTCTGACCAGTTAACCTTTTAAAGATTTTATTAAGAAGTATATTGTATGGACTTAAATTTGATTTAAACCTATTTCCTTTTTTTTTTTTTTTTTCACAACACACACAAATTAGTGTCACCAAAAATTATCTAGGAAAGTTACTTAGAGTAAAACGCGATTGTTCTCTATATCTACAATCAAAATTATATCCTTAGAATGGTAATGTCTAAATCCTTAAGCTATTCAAGTCAAATATGTTAACATTATCATAATTCAACAATTATCAAACAAGTTAAATCAATTATAAAGCTTTTAATGATACAAGTACAGCACTTTTTAATCTTTTAAATGGATTTTGTGTGTGTGTGTGTGTGTGTGTGTGTGTGTGTGTGTGTGTGTGTGTGTGTGTGTGTGTGTGTGTGTGTGTGTGTGTGTGTGTGTGTGTGTGTGTGTGTGTGTGTGTGTGTGTGTGTAAAGTATAGTTAATAGTTGTTGCATAATAAATTTTTTTGAAAATTCTAAAAAATAGCACGACTTTCTTTCGCATGTGTGTTGACAAATAACATTTTATAAAGCGCTATAAATATAAACTGGATCTTAACTTACAGCTTACAGTATAGGTTATGTTAACCTTTTGAAACAAACACCTTTAAATCAAATTGAAGCTGAAGTAAAACGTTGAGTGTCCGCTGGGGGGCGGTATTGACCCTTGATATAACACAAGTGAGCGTGAGCTGAAAACTGAACAGAGAAAGTCATCAGCTGTCAGTGCCGAAGAACAAATAACAGAAAAAATGATAATGATCAACATTTATTTGTCTTTGAAATTGATCAATCGTTAATACAAATGAAAAACTATAACTTATAAATAGTCTACAATTTATGACAAAACATACAATCAAAGTATTAGAAGGTAGATAGTCTATTTATCCGAATTGCCAATATGATTCGTGTGTTGTTGTTATTAATTTAGTCAAAGTGGTTATCCACTTACCCAATCTCGTAATTCCACCAAATAATCATAAACGAAAATTTGCGTAATTGTACAGTTTTAAGAAACTTCTTTATGAATAACTTTTGCGTATACAATTAGAAGGAAAATGCAACGTCTGTCTTTGTTAAATAATGATAATCTGGTTTAATAAATACGTTGTTTTATTCCCAATCAGTGGCGATTCCATCCAATTTATCATTTGCAATGGATACAAATAACTAAAATATATGTTTTATATTCTTTTATATTGTTTTCAATTTTCTGAAAAGCGCGAAGGTTCATGATAGCAAAACGCATTAACGGATGAAAGTAAATCCGAACATGAAAGTTCACTGCCACCTAAATTTACCTTATTGTGCTCCTCACTGCCATTTGCAGGATTGACTTGTTTTTTGAGGATTTGTCTAGTTAAGTCATGGTGAACCCGTTTTCTCCAAACAGCTCCAGGTTTTACTTAATACGGAATAAAAAAGTATTTAGCATATTAATGTGCCTTTATCGATAAAGTTATTCAATCTTTAATTGTCGCATGCTGTACAAATGGCAATAAATAAAAGAAAAAAATAGCTAAAATTAATCTAACTTGTGTAGAATAAAATCTATAACTGAAATTATGTATTTATGTATTTTTACATTAAGACAATTTGATGTTATGATACTTTAAAAAGCAGAATAGGTTGTAACTATAAACAATTGATTACATTTTTTAGCATAAAGTTACTGACTTATCTGTCTTGTTACATTTTTTCTTTGTTTATTTTACATTTCTAATTGTATTTTTAATGTTTAGCAAATTTTATAACCGTTGTCTCGTATTGTTTTTATTATTATTACTATTGTTGTTGTTGTTGTTAATATTATTATTATTATTATTATTATAAGCAATTATAAGAAGTAGTAGTCTGTAAAAGGGTATACATTTTTGTGCAAATCCATTAAAATGTAGTTTGTCAATTGGTACTTAAATGTAAATCTGTACATATGTAGGCTAATACTGTTTGTAAATCTAGTCCGTTTTTTGTAGCAATAAAAGCGCTTAGCATCGTTAGATGGCAGTGATGCTCTCAGTGCGCATCATCGCGCCGCGTGAACAAACACCGCACTGCTATCAAAGAAATAAGAGGCAGCTTTCAAGTTATGTCTGACGTGTAGCGACTGCGCTTCATTTTCTGCCATAAATGTTTGTGCATCGTACACAAAACATAATATTGTTGTTTCATTTTGAGGATTATTGTTATTATTGCAACTACTATAAAATATATAATAAATAATAATGCACAGAGATTATTATTATTAGGCCTAATTATTGTCGCTGTCATAATATTATTACATTGTTGTTGGTGGTTTTGGTATGATTACCCTTTTTATATTTATTCGATTTGTGTCTGGTTTCATTTTCTAAGTTCTATATAATTAATATTATAACAACATATTAGCTATTTAATTGTGAAATGTGAACTCTTTGATAACTCAGATCGCATTATTGACTCCGTGATTCAAACTATCCCCTCCGGAAATTGATTTGTTTTATTAAACTATTTAAATCTGATTTTATTTATTTTGAATAGAAAAAATGGAAATAATCAAAATACACTTTGTAGTTTATTTTCATTTGAAGAGCGCTATTTATTTAGATTTAGACGAATAATAATAATAATAATAGTAATAATAATAATATTAATAATAAAACTGTTTATTACTAACCTACACTTTGAATACTGCGAGACCGGACATGTCTTCAAATATCGGTCTGTTTATTAATATATACATTGATTATAAACATTTTTAATGTAAACGCTGTTTAAAAAAACGAAATAGCTAAACATCTGAATTTAATTATTTTAATTATGTTTCTACATTTTCCAGTATATTTTTAAAAATACATATTTTTAAAATTACAATTGTTTAATTTTGGTTTCTTCATGTAGCAACTGTTTAAGTTTTCCTAATGCATGTTCCGCTGTTCTTACCTTGTGGTCGAATTATCCGAGTTGTTTAACTAAAACAGGGAAGCTTGCAAAGCTTTATTGAGTTTAGATTGGCTTTTTCACCCTCTCTCCCGCTCAGTGTGGTGCACGTGCCACACACCTGCTGCCTGGGCGCACCATTCTGACAGAGGGAGGGGTGTCTCAAAGAAAACAATTAAACGAGAGTTTCTCAAGCAACATTACATAAATCACGTGCTTTTGGGTTTCTTGCTTTGGGCCCCGTTGTCAAAATTCTTCAGAGACCAAAGTTCAGCACCCATCTCGTGCTTCCACTAAAACCCTTTCAACTTTTGTGGGCAGAACATTTGGGCCTTTGCGCCACCAGTGACGGAAGTCAAACGACTTTTAGAGGACTCTAAGCATGTAAGGCGTTCGCTCTGATTGCCTTTCATGCTTGTCCAATGAGATCTGTCTTTATGAAACACTTCGTAAACCGGAGTTCCAAACAAAAGGCCAAGTCCCTGAAACACACAAGTCACGCCACCGGCATATTGCTGACGGCCTTGGACACAGTTCATTCCTCTCTAGCAATTACTTTCTTCATAGCACATCCCTGCTGGGAGAAAAAAAAATCAACAAAACCTAAGCTAGTTTACTGGTTTTAACTGGTTGGGTTAAGTTGTTTTTTATAACTTGTGTTTTAACATTTGAGCGCGGCTTTCGGTGACATTAGCCCACATTTAAATGGTACCAGTAGGTCAACAAATTAAAAGCAATCTTTTGCTGCTGTATATTTATAATTGTTATATTATAGTGTAATGCATCTTCATGATCATAACACATTTGTTTGTTGCGTTTGTTTGTTATTAATTCCTCTAATTATTTCCCTTTAGGGGCTGCTCCCAAACGCACATTCGCATGAAAAGTAGGTATATATTAATTTACTTGTAATCAATAAGTCTTAATACACTTGTCTTTATGTATAAGAAATATACCTCAATCAGTATATTCCCAATTTGCTTTAAGATATTTGCCTGTAAAGGGTTGGTCATTTTTCTTCGCAGATCCTTATTGAAACGCAAGGGGGCGCCTTACACAAATCTTGTTTGGGCACAAGTAGGCTACGACCCTCGGGCTCTTGTTTCACCACAAAGGATGCTCTCAGTGAACCTCAATCAAGGTAAATGATCCATCGATCTTTTTTTAATGATGATGGCGTTCTATTCCCACAACGTTCGTTTTTGGATTTGTTAAAACTCAAAATGCCCCGTTTACCCATTTGCTGTTCTGTTTTTTGGAATGGTTTGCAACGTTTTCGAATTTTCAACGACAGCGCAGAATGGCAAATTACTTCATTATAAAACGTTCTATAAAATCAAGTTCAATTGAGATGTTTGGGCATGTGATCTTAATATGGCAGCAATAACCTAGTTAAATAATTTAATATTTCATTTAAAATCTTCCATTTATTCAACATATTCAATAAAACAATTTAGGGGGAAAACTAATTTGTTTTCAATTTTATTTATTTTTAACATTCTATACTAGGCCTACGCCTTTAACACAGCTAATATTAATGAGGCTTAATCTTATATTTGTAACTATAATTTAAAAAATAAAATTATAATTTGTAAAATTGAGTAGTATTCGCACCACCTTCCAGATGACTAAATTTACATTGTTTTTGAAATGTCAATATTTTGTTCTTTATCCACTGAATATCTTTAAATAAACTATGGTTGGTGATGTTGTTTTTACATAATTCTTTTTAGATTGCTTATTAATTTACAATTCTTTTATTTGGATAATTTTATTAATGAGCGCAGCTTCTCATCACACGGCAATGATGTCTTAGAATAGAGAAAACGGGCTACTAAAATGCCTCATCAGTGGAGTTCGACCGAGATTAAACCGTTTAGGAGATCGTAATGAACTGCCCGCCGTGGCCTATATGGTTTTTGGGTGTCAACTGGAGATATTTATTTTTAAAAGTACTGGGCTGGCGGGGGTTACTGGATAATGAAAGGTCGTCATAGGTATCTCACTTGGCGACTGCTTGAAGTCTACTAAATGGCTCGGAGGTAGTACGGAATCCCGGGAGTGAGGCGGTAACAGGGGAGCGTGACGAATTATGTATAGCGCGAGGAGTTAAGCGCGTGCATTCCTCCCTCTCTGTGTATATGATGTTTGGGAAAAAAGCGTGTTAAGTCCCATGCTTGAGTATACATGACTTGAGGCACTGAACGCAAATCCGCTGTTTTTACTTTATTAAGAGGTGACGTTTGAGTGGCCAAATCATATTATGCATTATGAAATGTGCAATAATCTAAATCGATATTGCGCATTCATTTGGATGAATTTAACTGATGTTTTCTCTACTTAGTGCCTTTTTTAAATAAATAAGGAAGAGGAAGAGGGGACCAGAACTTGACTTGAGTGTAGTTAATCTCAGCAACAACTGAGGACACATGCAATTAATAAAGACCAGAAGATGAAAGGCACAATCATTTGTGGGTCTCAACCAAAATATCCAGCACTGGGATCTTAACAAATGCTCTCAATAGGTAGTCAGTGTATATCATTGGTAGTCATGGCTATCGTTAGCCTGTCTCAAACATTTGTGAAGCAGTGGGCTGCCATAAATACAGATGATTTACTGTTTTCCCTCATGATCAAAACGGTGAGCAAAAAATAAAAAAATAAAATCCTTGCCGTAAATTATGCTGTGCGAAATTTGTTTTTTTTTTTTTGTTTTTTTCATTTAGGCAATTCCTCGTTGCTTTTAATAAGAACGAAATGTTTTAATGGATAGATTTACTGGAAGTTACTCACTTGGATGAATTGCCAATGTAACCGTATTACAAAGAAGCTACACATTGTAATAATGTATAGATTCATCACTTATCTTTAGCATCATTTCATTTGTTCAGATGCGCCTTCTTTTTATTGGTTTATTGGATCTTGGATGAGAGTCTAACCAAAGCGGTCCCTCTGGAACAAAACACAAAACAAATGTAAGACGTTTTTAACTCATTAGCTCGATTTTTATCTTTTTTCCTGTTTAATTTGTGGTATCATTACGCTATCTCACTTAAGGTTTTGCATTTTATTTCATCTGCTTCTGCCAGCCGCTGTCTGCTGTCCGCAGTTATCGGCCCTGATCTCCAGGTGCATCGTAGACGAGGGTCAGAAGGTTCGAGGCTTCATAATGGACACAAAAGCACAAAGCATGCGGACGGGCGTGATGCTCCGCTACCTGATATCAAAGCCAGCAGCCTCTGCATGAGAGGAGATGGGCCTCGAACAGTCGGAGAAAAACCCAAAGAGGAGCATGCGCTTCAGGGTTTGAAGTGACGCCATCTATTTATAAAAACAACAATTACGTTTTACATTACAATGCGCATGATACAAATTTGACGTGTTACAATTAATAACAAAAGAAGAGATAACGCGTAATTGCTTGGTGCCATTCATTACGAAGTGACGTGTTTTGATCTGTATATTGTAATCGTGGTTAATGTAAACACTACGACTGCAAGTGTGGAATAATAAATGCTGCTGTAAAAAGTAAAAATTTATTGAAGTTATTTAATAATAGCCTAGTTATGATATATTTCATATAGTAATATAATTATTTTAATAAAATATATAAACAGTTAAACAATATAGCCTACGTAAAAAAATGGCTAGTTTTGTAATAATAATAATAATAACTATTGTTGTTGTTATTATTATTATTATTATTATTATTATTATTATTATTAATATTATTATGAAAACAGCAGTAATAATAATAATAATAATAATAATAATAATAATAATAATAATAACAACAATAACATTATGGATGTTTTGTTTACAGATAAACTACATTTGCTGACTACTTTTTTGCAATTTCCATAAATTGGTAGACACTTGTTAATTAATACACAAATCAAGTATTGTCCATGTGAAATGCATTTTTTTTCTATAAACCTATTATTATTATTATTATTATTATTATTAATATTATTATGTAGCAAAACTGAAAATGCATAAATTTAATATTCAGTAAATACTTCAGAATATTTTTTTCTTGTTAGAACATGTTAGAATAACATGTTAGAATCTTTCTTTCTTTCTTTCTTTCTTTCTTTCTTTCTTTCTTTCTTTCTTTCTTTCTTTCTTTCTTTCTTTCTTTCTTTCTTTCTTTAGGCTAAGCTTTTCTCTGAATTAGTCTGCGTTTTTAGACTCGTTTGTTTCACCACAATTTTCGTAACGTTGTTTACCATCCTTGTGCGCCTCTAGTTTAGGAGGCAATGTGATTTTGGAGGCGGAACGCATTTAGTTCCACTCGGCAGAGTGCACGAACACTGGCGCACCAATAGCATCCCTATGTCAGTCAATAGCCTGCAAAGTGACGCGACCAAAAGGGGAGGGTGCTTTCTCTGAAGCCTATCTCAGTTTTGAGCTTTCTCAAGCTGCAGGGAGCCGAATGGCGCACTAATTTAAGAGTTAACGTTTAGACATCTCCTTTAGGTTTTCGTGGATTTTACTAATTTCCTAAAAACTTCTGCGGGTTGAGACGACTTGTGCACGGTGTAGGAAAGGGAGGATCTTCCTTTGCAGCTCGTGACAACAGCCGGGATAAAAAACCTAACTTTGCGCTTCGTGGAGAAAACGTCTCGGACGTTAATTAACAGGTGATTTAGTGCGTGTTTTCAGTTTTATAGTTATGAATTGTTGTGCTTCTTTGCCAGGCTGTGATCAAGAACAAATTCTAAACTAGCAAGTTGCAACTGCAATGAAAAGTTTTCTTGAGCTGGCCATTTTAGCTGCAAAGCTGCATAGATTGAGATTTCTGTGATATCAACTAATGTTGTGAGCAATAGTTTTGGGATTTGAAGAGTGGACAACTCTGACAAATGTGTTGTTGTGGATATTACAACAGGTCTAGGACGGCGCTTCCTTGCAGGTAACATTGGGAATATTTAAAGATGTTGGACGGTATAAAAATCGAAGATCATCCGCTGCGGTCGGGACAAGCAACACTTGGAGTTATGCTCGGTAAGTCCTTCAACATTTGTAGTATTTGTCTTTAAAAGCAAGCCTGTAAATGCTCGCAAATACTAAAGTAATTCTGGGAATTTTTATAATGCTGTTTCTGTTAAGATAGATAGAGATCTACAGTACAGCTGGAACTGTAGCAGTCGGGCCATGCAGTCGGCTGGGATGCACCCGCATGTGTCATGCATTTGACCGGCCGGCCGCATTCATCTGTTGAATAATCAAAACTATTTCCCATAGAAAATAATCCAAATACACGAGTGGTGTATTTAAATAATAAAATAATTTCTCTCATATTTACTGCGCAACGCAATGCAATTATTTCCATGCTCTCATGTTGTTGTTGTTTTAGGCTATATAAACTGCACGTATTTCCCATTCAAACAGCTGCACCATTACATCTTATTATGTTTGCTTAATTCTAACAAATAACTGTAACGTTTGAATGGTAGATGGACAGAAATAAAAAAATAGGTAAAAATGAATAATAAGAAGAAAATCTGCACAATTAGGCTATATATTTTCTTTTCTCTTACCCCATTAGGCTATTTATTCTTTGGACCGGAGATTTTGTTTACACATGATCTTGAAGGGTACATAAATACAATTGCAAATATTTAATTGGCAGTTTTTTGAGCATAGGCTAATAGTGTCAATTTTAGATTTGCCAGATATTGTGCAACGTTTTAATTTTTGTGCGTATGTAATAATAATAATAATAATAATAATAATAATAACAATAATAATAAAATAATAATAATAAGAAGAAGATATAATAAACAATTAATATCACACGTAATATTATTCGGACGCCTTTTTTCACAATGTCATATTGGTTTATGAGTATCTAGAATACAGAATTATATTACTAACACTTGTTCAATAATTACCCATTTATGTAAAATATTTATTTTATAAAAATGATGCATTTACCCTTCAGGGACGGAGTGCCATCACCAGGCGGTGTGTGAGGGGTGCCAGCGGCCGATATCCGACCGCTTTCTGATGCGCGTCAACGAGTCTTCATGGCACGAGGAGTGTTTGCAATGCGCCGTGTGTCAACAACCGCTCACCACCAGCTGCTACTTCCGGGAGAGGAAACTTTACTGCAAATATGACTACCAACAGTAAGAGCATGGATTATTTAAGCAATGTTATTGGTGTAATGCGCACGCAGGCAATGGGCTCTAATAGAATATTTATTTTATTGTTCAAGTGTGATCAACAAAGAAAGTGACATAATTTTCGTTTTACACACAAATATTCCTAGTATTTCCTTAAGTAAAGTTGAAATAAATACTTGGCGTTGTTAGTATGATTTTGTTGAACTTGTCAACAATTTTGTTTATACAATTGAGCAGCATTGGTGCGCTGTAACCCTAAATGCGTTTGTCCAAGAATTTGGCTTACTTATTCAGGTTATAGCTAAAATGAATTTACTTCGTGTTTTTGCATCATATTCCTCTTTTTATTTGTAATTCGAGAGGCATCAATCTAGTGATTTTCCATGCTGTGAACTTTGTGGGTTGTGATGTTCTGCTTTGCAGTTGTAATTGTAATTCATTGATTTAATTTAATTGAGTCGTTTATTCGATTGTTCTGATGATTCGAGGACGGAATAATTATTTGATCACCTGTAGCAGTACATTATTTCATATTAGCCTATTTGATCACCTTATTTGTACAGTAGGCCTACAGATGTTTAGGGCATGGCCATCCTGTAATTAATCCATCTTCGTTTTACTTATATTCGCACATTAGTCGTAAATAAATTGGTTAAATTTAATATTAAAATTCTCTTTTAATGTAGCTATTTTTGTCTTCTCGCAAATAAACGCACTGTCTTTTTAATAAAAAAAAATTACATAATGATTTCAATGATAATATTTAAGCCCATTTAGGCATATAAAAGCTACTATTGCAATTGTTCTTTTACGCAACAGTGACCATTTCTGTTGTTCAAGTTGAGATTGTTTTTGAATTAATTCAGCATACCCATAAATTTCCAAACGCTAAAATCCTATGCATATAAAACGTCTTTTTAAATAGGCTATTATGCGTTATACTAATTAAAACCTTCTCGAATCCAACCCATTGTTCTTCATTTCTTTTAAAAATTCATGCAGTCATGGTATGTGATAGGCTAGTGTGCACAGTGGGTGGGTGCAGTGTTGATATTCACCCGGTCCTGAAGCTGTGAGTGGACTGCAGGGCGCCTTATGTTGCATGTCTTCTCCACATGTATGTCACTGGTTTTGCTATAGCTTTTGTGTCAGGGGTTTTGAAATATCGCTGCCGCTTTGATAGCGATAACTGGGAGGTCCCTATCCGACACCAAGCAACAATTAAAGGGCCACGTCTACTGCCCGACTTTAATAGTCGCCAGCTCTTTCCGCTTGACAGTAAAGAGTTAGTGTTAACTAAATTAATTTCATAGCTCTGGTCTCATACTCCATTACCCTGGGGACGACTGAGACAGGCCAAACACGTCAACGAGGTTTTTCTATCAGTGTGGTATTATGTTTAGACTACATAACCATATTTAATGACTGTTTGTGTTAACCTGTCATTTGGAAAGATTTTTTCCTTTATTGCATGCAGATTCATTTCACTTTTGTTTCCGTGGATGCCAGGCAAATGTTAGTTTCTTGTACCTAAATCACATTTTCCTAGTCTCCTTTTCTTCCACAAGTCACAATATCTGTCATTTAATAACAGCACTTTCGTTTTTTTGCTCCTCTTTTATGGGGTTCTAGCCGTGCTACACAGGTAGCTAGCCATAATATTTGTTTATTTATTTCGCAACGACGGGCCACTTAGTAGATGTAATTGGCACCTTTCTGACTTTTATGGCATACATTTAAGGTTGTACTTGTCAACCCCGCAAATCGCCCGTGGCTCCAACTTGAAGACTTTAGCCGTTTCTGAAACTCCGCCTAATGACATGCTAGCATCAATTGATTCATGCCCTATAATCATTAGACCCGTAAATCACGACATTGGGCAAACGCTCATATTCACACCTCTCTGTCAGCTATTTACAGCACGAGCTTACCGGCGGGAATTTATAGCTTGTTTTGGCGCGGAAATTTCACCCCGCTTGTAGCTCAAGAGTAACTTGGAATAACAGGCTTTCGTTATTAGAGGATTAGCTCTGGAATTACGATCTGCATATAATGTTTTTTTTAAATGGCTAAGCAGACATTTGCGTTAGTGCCAATTAAAGCCACAGGTTATGGAAATATAATTGTGTTTTCAAACTATTAGTGGGAATTCTCTTAACTATTGCAGATTACCCAGAATTGTTATTCATTTCAGTTGAATCTCTGCTACAGATACAGCCAACTCTTCTTTCTTTCTTTCTTTCTTTCTTTCTTTCTTTCTTTCTTTCTTTCTTTCTTTCTTTCTTTCTTTCTTTCTTTCTTTCTTTCTTTCTTTCTTTCTTTCTTTCTTTCTTTCTTTCTTACAACAGATAATTTAAGTTATACATTCGTTAAGCATTTTTTTGTATTTCTAATTATGTTATACATTTATTATATATATATATATATATATATATATATATATATATATATATATATATATATATATATATATATATATATATATATGCCTATTTTATTATTTTAATATTATAATATAATGTAATTAATGTATAGTTTATTATTGGGAAATCAACATTTTAATTTAGAAAAGCTGGACTTAAAAATAAATGTTAGAATTGTTTTTTATTAATGTATATATTTTTTAATTAATGCTGTTTTATTAATATTTATATTAATGATGTCAACACGTGTTTTTAATTTAATCTTAAAATGTTTGCTACATCATTTAAATTGTTAGATTTTTTTTCTGCAGTGTGAATAATTTGTGACCAATGTGTGTGAGAGAACATGTTTTTGTATATTTAATTTATTATTATTATTATTATTATTAATAATAATAATTATTATATTTTTATTTGGTAATATTATTACTTATGCATTACTTATTTATTTATTCATTAATAATAATAATAATAATAATAATAATTATTATTATAATTTATTTATTTATTTATTTATTTATTTATTTATCTATCTTTTTGTGCATTTTTAATACCAAAATCAGTATTATGTTCCAAACTGTTGTGTATTTCTGTGCACTAAGTGTGTGTGCCAATACACAGATAGACGGATAGATAATTTGGACAGATGCCACAACTGCTGCAGTGCAATTTTACATTGTTGTTGTTTAATAGAAGAAGTGTTCATAATTGCATTACTGGAATGCTGAGAGTTGGGATGGTCCCCTCTGGCCTTTAGTGTCAGTGGAACGTGGCTCAAGTCTGTTGTTAGTCTTGGTCCAGGGATAATTTGCTTGAAGTAGGAAGTTGTGGATGATCCCCCGGTGTGCTGATAGTTCTATTTTAGCACCGTGGGGGCGTCCTCCTGCGATGTGTTGTTTTTTAATTAGCTCTGCTTTGCGAGCGGGATGCTGCATTCCCGCTGACATGAGTGGATTTTGGTCCTGGCAGTGTGTTTTCTACATGACTGGCGCCGTACACCCTCCCAATACACCCAGAACGCCTTATGTTATCATTGTTTCAAAGCCGTAAATCAGATTTGTTTTGGAATATTTTGTTGAAAATGCAATAATCGAGAGCTGTGCTTCTTTGAAGGTATGAGGAAAGGCAGTAATGGTGCTGCGTTTAGTTTTTTTTGTTCTGTTTTTTTGCTTGGCGTGTTGAAGGGCCTCGTAGCGCTGTGCTCTGGGATGAGGCCGAGTCTGAGCCAGCCTGTTCCTCTGCAAGGAAGTATTAGGTTTTGTGTCAACATTAGCCCTGCCTCTGCTGGCAGCATTAAAATGATGCAATCATCTGTCATCTCAAGACTAGTGCCACAAACCCCCCACCACCAGACGTTTAACGCTTTGACCTAACGGGATGTTTTTTTTTTCTGCTGTAGAGAGGAGCCTTCAATGGCTGGGTTTCGCTCTTCATTTATGGAATAGATTATTTAGTCTGTGCTCTTTTAGATGTGTTACTGTATGTTCTTCACAGCTGTGATAGTATTTAACCATTGGGAAGTGTGTATGCTATGTCTGTATGTTTAATGTGCCAGCTAGAGCCAATTTGAAAGGGTATTTATTTTGCTATTATAACTACAGTACTTGCAAGAGCTAATATATCTTGAACCACTTTATATATGTGAATGTGATATTATGAAAATGTTGTCTTATACTCTAGATTTCAATTACTTGAATTGACCTCCATAAACTGAAAAGGTTTTGTTGATTTTCTCTTGGCACACTTAATGATTTTTGAAGCGTGAAGGGTTTATACTTGAACTGAGTTATTAATCGGATTGTACCAATTATTAAAGCATTTTCATCACAATCTTTAAAGTTTAAAGTATTTTTTTTTATATGAAATCCATATTCTAATCCTTTAATACAGTGGTTCTCAAACTGTGGTACGTGTACTTTTTTGATGCTTTGGCTGACAATAATAGATATTCTCAATAATAGGAATTAATCTGCCACCTTTTTTGAACTGTGCTGTACTGTAGCTGCTTTACTGGGCTTACTATGCTACTGTATTTCAATACTGCTCATTATGGTGGTACTTGGGGAGACAATTTTGTTCTGAGGTGGTACTTGATGAAAAAAGTTTGAGAACCACTGCTTTAATACATTGAAAAAAGACTAAAGGAAAGGGTAGTTTCAAGCATCAAAAAAGTAAACGTGTATTACAGTGGTCAGTATATATTTTTTCCTCTTGGCATTAGAATGTGACCTGATTAACTTTGTTTTTCATGTACAGTCAATAAAATAATAACTAGTTGTCATTGTTGATATTTTCTGTCCTTCAAAATAAAATATATTAAAAGTATAAAATCCTAAAATATAGTAATTTACCAAAATTGCATGTTTTTCAATATTTAATTTGGAATTAGTATGTTTTATATATTTATATACATAAAAAAAATCAAACATTAATTCAAACACATTTTGGCATTTTATATTTGCAAAAATTATTTAAAATATTAAATAATTTTGAAAGTCACTCATACACTAACATATGTATATTCAATATACAGTTTACATTGCAACTATTGCATCATCATGCTAAAATCTAATTATGTAA